AGGTTAGGTTATAGGTTGTTCTTTTTTTTTTTTCAATGGTTAGGTTAGGATTAGGTTGTGAAATTTTTTATAGGTTAGGTTATAGGTTGCCAAATATTGGCAACCTGCAGGGCTCTGGCATAAAGTCGATATAAACAAGATACATTTCTCAAAGAATTACTGAATAGATGGGCACGTTTTCACTTCATCGACATCATCATGTCTCGTGACACGACACTTCCGCGAACAGGACTCCGATTCTTCCGCGAATTTTTTATAATACAAATTTAAGTGCAGAAAGCTGACAAATTCAAGAAAACCTAACTTTTGAATCTGTTTTTCACATACTTTAATTTTTTTACTATAAAAGCACTAAAACGTTCTGCGGATCTAACATTCAACATTCTTCCAGGATTTTAGTCTTATTATCTTACACAGAATTAAATTCGGCATCGTTTGATAAATAAACAAAGTTTCTCAATGGAAACCATTAAGCAAAAAAGTAATTTAATTTGAAAAAAGTGAATAGCCGTTCGAGAGCTAATTATAAGTCCACCTGGCGTAGCCGAAACATTGTATGAAGTAGTTAAGTAGAATCGATAGAGCACAAAATTATCTATCTATCTACGCAGATAAGTAAACTAATGAACCTCAGACAATGGGCTAAAAATCTCCAAAAAGGAGATGATAAAAAGCTTGTCACAATCCGACAACTCAGCACCCTTCGATATTTTGAATGGTGCTCAAACGCAAAAAATGCTATCAGAGATTCAAATAGCAAGTTTTGTAGAGAATTCAATTATCTATCGATTGAGCTTAGAACAAACTCTTAGGAGTACTGGGTGCTTCAAAAACAACAAATAAAAGTGTCCGATTTTATCTGGGCCACCTGATATTTACAAAAATTCGCGGAAGAGTCGATGAGTCATCATTTACGCAATTCCCAAAAAAACAACATGCATGTAAACATGGTTGAATAGATGTATAGAATTAAGTAGAAAAATGTCAGTTCTTCTTAATTTTAACACAAATTTTATAAAAGAAGGTTTAGAAATATTCAGATTTGGTGAAACTGAGTGTGGTATATTTCATTGAATATGAATGGCTTGTTACAAAGAATATAGTCATTCTTTTTGTTAATGATATAAATGTTGAAACTATAAAAAATAGCAGAAATTTGTACTGATGCAAAACTTATTCATGATGTATTATAGTAGCGACACAAATATTGTGCTGTTCAGTTACATATTTAACTAAAACAAATTTAGAAACTAAAATGACAATAAAACTTGTGTCTCTATAGCTTTTCTTTTTCTGATTGAACGACACTTTGACAACTGTCAGAAGTTCAAAACTGTTATATTAACAAAAAACGAGGATAAATTAGTCCTAATGGACGTTGATAAAGAGCATCAGACAAAGATGACGCTATATTTTTATTCCATATTTTCTTCTTGTTCTTGAGTATTTTCATCAGCCGTTGTTGTATCCAGTATTTGTGACATTGTCGGTCTAATTTTCCGTTTCAACCATTTATCAATATGCATTTTAACTTGTTGTCGGTATGAATTTAATTTTTTAATCAAATCCATTTTTCTCAGTTCTCGATATTCGTCTAGTCGTGCATGATAATAATGTTTAATTTGATCGTAATTTTGTTGTTCATTTCCTAAACGTTTAAACATATTTCTTAAATGATAACATTTTGTCGTTTGTAATGCCAACTGTTTCAAATGATTATCTTTTGATGAATCTTTTCCAATATCAACATAAAATTCTTTGTGAAATTGACCAAATTCTCGTGCACAATTAATCAACGATAATTTTTGAATATCGTCTGGAGAAAATTTACGACCGGCCGCTGCTGAGGATGCTTTTGTCTTTTGTACTGGTGGTGGTGGAGCAGGAGTCTCTTTCTTCACTTTTGGAGACGGTGATACTTTTTCTTCTGATTTAGAAGACCGACGAGACTTCTTTTCTTTCACAGAACTCGTTCGCGGCTTTCTTTTTGTTACTTTTGTTGATGATGTTTGTGTCACAGTCGTACTAGTAATAATTGAAACATCCATTTCATTTTTAGCCAATTCGGCATTTCGCATAATTCGTGACGGAAATTTAATGCCATAAGGAGACATTTTTGGTTAAAGCAAAAAATAGGACACTTTCTAGAAGTAAAATCGATATTAGACACATTAAGAACAACTTTTTAGGTAAAGTCAGTGATGTATGTCATTATATGTAAAGATGAAGACAAGGCTGAAAGAGTTTATGAATTTTCCTTAATCCTCCGTAATCCTACCGTAAATACATCATTATATACAAGATCTCGTTCGGAAACGCCTCGAAGAGATGCATAATCTACCCGTGAGTTTGAAAAATTTTCCATGAACGGTAAAAGTTTTGGAAAATTTCCACATTTGAAATTTAGAAAAGGCTTTTATCGGTTTATTTTTTATTATTCGGAAATTTCTGAAATCTTCCTATGTGGAAAAGTTCACATTTTTTCGGTTGGAAAATTTTTCAGAAATTTCCACAGCTTCCAAAACTTCCATAACTTTTCCACGTACGCTTGTAGGCGCACACGAGGAGATTCTGTACCTCTGCCCGCTTCTTTTTGCTAGAAATGATTGTCTGTCACTCAGAGAACAACCGTCAAGCCAAAGAAATTTTTTTGAAAAACATTTTTTTCGACCGAAAATTTGTGGGGGGGGTCTTACCCTAATTTTTCCGAAAATTATTTTTATTTAGAAAAGTTTTGTGTTATAGATCCTTTTGATGCTGATCCTGAATATGACTTTATTGTTTCTGAAAGTGTTTCTGGGTTGAAAAATTTAGATTTTTCTAAAAACCCACGGGTTTCATGGCGTACTCATTAGCCTTCTCATACCTTCAAACATAAAGATGATTCTTCAATAATGAAACTTAAAAGGGTGACAGAAAGTTTGAAAAGATGAGAGAATGACTAGCTTGCAACGATGAAAATCTGGAAAAATGATCTGGATAGGCCTATTTAATAGGACCTATCGAAACCGTGGCCATTAGTCACGATAGTCATATACGGCGAATTACGACTGTGTACTAACGTAACACGCCGTAAATGGCCGTAATTTGGCGGTAATCCTATGCTCCGTAACACTATAGTCGTAAACAACCTTTTATGACACCGTTTATGGTCGTAATACGCTCGTTTACGGCGGCAGTATTACGGAACATAGGACTACGACGTAGTAAATCGATTTGATGACCGTTTACGGGCCATGTTGAAACATCTGGGAAGGAACAATTATCATAGATAAGAGATATAGTGATTGGTCTGTAGTGACTGGTCTGTTGATAGCCCGATTGATGCCGATCTAAATCAAAGACTTATTTCTGGGCTGGGAACACCCGATTAATTGGTTCACTCGGTTCATCGATCTAGATCCAGCACATCATTCTATTTAGGGAGCTATTTATTCGGCAATGCTATGGATCGGCAGCAGTCGGGTTATCAGCCATTGGGAGGATCAATTTATAGGCCGATCACGATAAATTTTATCTATGATAATTGCTCCTTTTGATAGGACCTGTTAATAGGCCTATCCAGATCATTTTTTTGTACTTGGGTGATTTGATATTAGAGGGAACAGATAAAGACTTGCGAACTACTGCGTAGCTATTAAAAAGAAAATGCAAGAATCATACATACACTTTTTGGTATGCGATCATTTATTCTCGTGCACGATTATTGAAAAAAACTGTCTTACACTTTGTAACTCAAAGATAATGATCAACAAAACGGATTCAAAGAATCTAAATCTTTACTCATAATTCGCCCATGAGTACTCATATCAGTTCTCAAACAATTTTTGAGTATTGTTACTCAGTGAGTACTCAGAAAATATTCATTCACCGTTTTATTTTGCTAAAATGAAACTGTATAAAGAACGTCAAAATTTAGTGAAGAAACATAGAAACAAAATTTAGTGAAGAACATTTATATTATTATTTTCTCACTGATCTCTCTGTGTATAGTCAGAGATGGACTTGTCTATGACTAGACTTGTAGTCCTACTCTGGCTGCCTGAGATCACTCCTCTATATGAAAATATCAGATGAACAATATTCGTCAGTATTTTGCCAGAAGTTATATGAGTACTCAACAATAGCCAACCATGAGTACTTAAAGTCGTACCCACAGTACTTGTTACTCACTCATGAGTACTCAATGAGTAAAAAAATGTATAAGTACTCATGTCATTTCAGTAGAGTATGGCTTTGAGTACACTCACTAGGATAAATTCTACCATTTTTTTTTCTGAGCAAATGGACCATTTCAGCAGCTTAGACGTACTTTCATCGTATAGAACTTCGTAAGAGAGACGTCATTTTATTTATTCACGTAGATTTGAAAATGATTTCACTCTCTGCTCTATGAGCGATCTATCAAATTTATTCTGAATTAAATTCAAATTTCAAGAAAGTTTCATGAGATTCTACGCGAAGTTTCATTCAGCTAAATTTTCCACTCGACAGGTTTAATCTTACGAAAAAGTTTACTTTTTTCTAATGTTTCGGGAAAATATAGACCAAGTGTATTACTTAATTATATAGACCAATTCTAAATTTTGTTTTAAACAAAAAATCTAACAATGCAGTAAAATATGAGTACAAGTTTATATATCCGATATTCTAAGAAAAAAACAAATAAAAACTTGTATACTATACTAACCGCTGCTGTTGACCGATGAATCCACGTTCTATCAGTCTATTTTCACTGAATGACCTCTCTATGATTTTCTGTATCCTCCGATCCCAAGAGTTTGCTGACATTTATGCTACCTCAAATGTATAGCTTTGGTATTATAATTCATCTGAGAAATGCTGTCTGGACTTCAAAAAGTGTATGTCTTCTTCAAGTTCCTTAGTAAATTGAAAAGACCGGAGATATAACCAATCAAATTTTTTATTTATTCTTGAGAATCGTCGTTATATGCACTTTGTCATGACAAAGAATTCCCTCCTTTGTTGATCTCAGCTATTCGCATTTGTTCGGACTTCTCTTTCATGCATTAACTTTCTTTTAGAAAGAAACATTTATACTGTTAATAGCAACTTTGAAAATGTTATTTGAACAACTGCAATAAAATTATTTTCATTAGAGTCTGTTTTTGACCAATAGGGAAAAACTAAACTGTAAAAGGAAAAAATACTAAGGAAAAATAACGGTGGCCAGAGTGTCCAAATCTCCTAATTTGATCAGGAGACTCCTGACTCTTAATATTTTCTCCTGATTTTCAATTGTTTTTCTGTATCAATTTTATTTTTTCCAAAACTGAAAGTACCAGTTTCAGAAACAGAATTTCTGGATCAAGGACCTAAATAATTGTACATTGGAAGAGTCCGCTGTGCAACTATCGAATGTTCTCATCACAAGAAGATGAGATTAGTGAATTTCAAAAGCCATCCGATCAAAAACTTCTTCCTCAATCCATACTGCAGTCTGTAACAAATGATAATACTGTTTCATCAACCAAAACTTAAAAAAAAGCTTTTCTGAAAAAAACCTATGTTTTTGAGAAAGTTATTGGATCTTTTTATTTTGCTTGTCCAAGAAAAAATGTGTGATACTCTCCTGTTTGTTGTGATGTTATTTCACACTTTTTCAAATAGACTTGAAGTGAACAAATGAAACGTCCAGATCATTTTTCCAGATTTTCATCGTTGCAAGCTAGTCGTTCTCTCATCTTTTCAAACTTTCTGTCATCTTTTTAAGTTTCATTATTTAAGAGTCATCCTTATGTTTCAAGGTATGAGAAGTGTTGACTTGTTCGAACAGAAGAAAAAAATCTCCTGATCACCTCCTGATTTCGAAAAAACGGATTTGGGTACCCTAACGGTGAAATCAGTGACTATACAGTGAAATCCATTGTGAAAATATCCTTGTTTGTTAATTAAGATACTCATTGTCTGTGTACAGAAACTAACTCTCTTATGAAAAGCAAACATTAGAAATTTTCTACAGATATCTGTTATATCCACTATAAACGACTCAGTACATTTAGGCACTACAGCAGATGACTTTTAGTATGATTACAGTCTATTCTCACTTTATAGAAACTTAGTTTTCTCCAAGATGAATGAATATGACTATTGTAAAAATAAGCGCTGTATTCGGATAGAGCATGCTTCTACCAGAATTAAACAATAACTTACTAGAATTATGGTTCGGTTCAAACATAAACACGATTTATATGAAGCAGCTACAACCACTATTTCCATTGATGTTACCTATAGATTGTTTAGGTGAACGTGTGACATTAGCATTCAGAATACTGAACTATTATCGGTAAAAGGAAAGAATGCTCTCCATCATGTTTTGAATATCTTTCTATAGAAAAACGATTGAGGTGTGAGGTTCTACTTTTCTTTAGGTGCATTCATTTATAACGTCATCGTTTTCCCGCATTTTCGCTTGGCTCTGTCCAATTGTTAGTTCTCATTTCTTATGGCACGAAGAGACTGGCTCCATCTGTTCTCGTTGTCAGTAAACGAAGACTCACTACTATCATGTGAAACTAAAACATTCGCCACACACTCAAATCCGGTTCAAAATACTTCACAACTTCAAACTATATACTCTACTTTAGCTGTTTCACACCATAATGTGGTGCAAAATACGAACAGAATCTATCTGCAAAAATCTGAAATTCTTCAGACAGGTCTATAAGAATATTCAAGATATTTTGATTAAAATTAACGTACTTTTTAGTTTATCAATGTATGAAGCAACTGAATGTAATTGTGAATTGTTTCGACTGACGAATGTTTCAGTTTTGCATGAAACTCGCTTAAAACATGTTATTTCGCCTTCACAAGGTTCTTTTCTATCTTGAATATTCCTCTAAAACACACCACCACGAGACTGGACATGACCGATTATTCATGTTTTAGTCTTCGCTTAAATTGTCTAAGGTCATCTTCTAGTGGCTCCTGCAGAATCCGATATCATATCTTAGCGACTAATAGAGAGGATCTCCTTTGACATCCATATTTTAGCGGAAACTTAATATATTTCTATTCGGCAATGTTTTTATCATCTTTTGTTGTAACCAAATTCAATGAGAGAATTAGTTATTTTTCTAGTTTTTCAATT